TTTTCAGTAAGTCCCAGGGTCTAATAGTCTGCACAAACATCACTCCCCATGGCCCTAAGAGCAGGAGACCTAAATGGTGCCCGGCTACCCCACTACCAACTGCTCTGAGCGGGATCCCGTGGAAGGTACTGGAGAGAGTGGGAGAAAAGATGTGGAAGGAACCCCAAAATTATAAAAAGGCCAGTGCTGCCAGGGGAACCTTCTTCTTCACCCTTCAGGTCTGGAACTGAATTCTCTCCCATGACTCAACGTTCAGCCAAACAACAGACAGGTCTATCGAGGGAACAATAACACTGGAATAGCCAACTGTCTGAGATCAAACGGGTAACAAAGCTCCGCAGGAAGGGGGAGTAGAAATGGGAAGTGGAACAAGTGGGATTACACTGTGGAGACTGCAATAGAAAAGATGAGATGAAAATGTGTATGAACTCTCGAATGAAAAACTAGGTAGCTGATGTCAGGGGCTCAAGTGGGAAGAGAATGCTTTGAAAATGATGTTGGCGGCATATGTGCACATGTGCTTGACACACTGGATGAATGTATGGATTGTGATAAGAGATGTAAGAGCCCCCAATACAATGATAAAAAAAATAAAAACAAATTTTTTCTTTAAAGGAGAAAGTTTTGATGAATCTATTAGGCAAAAAATCTATTACTCGTTGTCAGGGAGTAAATTCTGACTCAGAGCAACCTTTATGTGGAGGAAATTACATTATCCTCATATGTTATTATAATAGTGATTATTCAACTTATGCAACTCCTATTCCAGAAGGTGCCTTGAATTTATTAACTAGAAAACCTTTTAAGACACATCAAGATATGAAGTATTTACATACATACATAATATATTGAACTGCACACATACTACATTTAACCTCTCTTTGACTTTCTTTATTCCTACACACATATTTTATTAAAAAAATCTTAATAGAATGATTTGAAATCTAATGCTGCTCAATCAAAACACAGTATTAAGAAGCATGTGTCCAAGCAGAACTGAGCTCCTCCAACAGACATTATTTGATAGTGATTTTCTAGATCAGGGGTCATCACCATCTGCATGAAAGCGCGCGTATTTCTGGGCTAGTTAGTCATAATGAGGAGCAACATGAAAATAGCAAATTCACAGTTTGTTTTCATTATTTTTAGTTTCAGTACTGTCACGCCAGTCAGTGAAAAAATCTTTTCAGTGATCCTGCAGTGTCTCAATAGCCAGGGACCTGGGATGTGTGTACTGCCTGCTCTTCCTCAGTGGGCTTCCAGAGATGCTTCCATTTGATAGGAGTTGACCTGGTTCCTATCAGTTTTGTATAAAAACAGAGAAAGTTAAAGTGGAAAGTAGTTCTAAAAGAGGCTGCTTTCAAAGTTTCTCCTTCAATTGCATCATCTGTGTTACCAATATTTATCATCTGACGCTATAGGTTTTTGTTTATTTCATTCTCCTTTTTAAAAAAAATCATTTTATTGGGGGCTCATACAGCTCTTATCACAATCCATACAGATTTGAGGGGGAGTTTGTTATTTTTAATTAAAAACGACCAACCATCTTTGTTATGTATATTGTCGCATTTTACTTTATTAACTAATATTCTTAGAGGGTCTGACAGTGTTCATTTTCTTTCATGTTGATTAACTATGGAAACTTGCTCAACTCCAGGCTAGCACTTGGCACAAGTGTGTCAAATTCAGATCCACAGCCTCTTCAAAAAATCATAGTTTTATATAAAATCTTCAATGTTTTTACTTTATTTTATTACAATTGCAATATTTTACTTTATTTTAAATTGTCAGTATTTATTAAATTTTTTCAATACTTTTACTTCAAAAAGTCCAAAGAAGAAACTATCTAGCCTCCAAGAATATCCAGAAAACCACTTCCACCGATAGCCCATTTTCTTTCCCTCTCAAAAAAACTTAATAAAAAATCTATCGAAATGCACGGTCCTGATGGGCCTTTCTGTATGAATAAAATTGGTTTTTATAAAATAACAAAACTATAGAGTCAGAAGTAGAAAGAAAATTTTTTGGAAATGATGATGGCAACAATCATTCGGCTTATGAGGAAGAAGTTCTGAGGAAAACGGACACCGCTGTGGTGAGGAAGGGCAGGAGAGGTTGGCAGGGAGTTTTTGAGTTTGGTTTTGCTTTTCTGTCCTGACGATGAACCTCCTCATTCTTTGAGAATAGCAGGGTCTCTTCTATAAGAATTTTGGAGGAAAGCCTTACCCTACTTACTCCCCAGCCCCAATCTTGCCCCTTCTGTTTGTTCCCCAAATTAAAAAAAAAAATTTAAAGGAATACAATTTGCATCCCTTACAGTTGCCCAAACTGCCATTTTGACACTAGGTGCCTTAGAAAGTGCAGACTTCTCTTGGGGAAGGTCACCTTCGGAGACCGCACCTTCAGAAGTGTCCAGACCTGGGCGAAGGAAACGTGGACGTACACACGCTGCACGTGTCGATGGCATTCTTGTGGAACAAAGGGATCAATGACTTTGTAACAATGCTTTTGGCCTTGAGTCCTTCAACAGAACAACTCTTAAGAAAGTGCTGTTTTAGACATGATTTCACAAAACAACACGATATAAAATTTAACAAGGAAAGTACCAAATGACATAGATCCAGGAAGGCAAATAATGACTTCATGTGTGCCTTGAGAAATCTGGACTCTTCTATAAATCAGTCTTACCTTCTGCATGGGAAAGGATATAGATTGGACTCCTACAGGTTTCATTTAACGCCTTCATCAGCTCTTTTAATCAATATGGGTACCCCAGACATATCTCCTGACTTTAGAGGGGCCTCAAAAGAGAGAAGACAGTGGCTGCAACATTGGGTTCAAAGATAGCAGCGATTGTGAAAGGGGTGCGGGACCAGGGAGTGCTTCCTTCTGTTGGGCACGGGGTCGCTGTGGGCCAGAACAGACTCACTGGCACCTGAGCACAACACCAACACCCCAGAAATCCAGGTAGCCTTTGGTCACCTCAATTTCTTCATGCATTAAGTGGATTAATTAAATGCAAAATTACTGCATTTAGTAAATCACATACTTAGCCTACAGAAGCTTTCAGTAGAGAACAGAATATGTTTCTCCTCCCTAAAATTTCTCCATAGGTTTGTCTCATTATCTAATTGTGTTTTTATTCTTTTTTAAATCATTTTATTAGGGGCTCATACAACTCATATCACAATCCATGCACACATCAATTGTGTAAAGCGCATTTGTACATTCATTGCCCTC